TTAGTACAGGACTTAACAACGCACGGCTGGGATCTATAAATAATTGCTGCAAGAATGGAGAGCAAAGAAGGTTAAAATTTTTCCTTTGCGAAATGAATTCAACTTCAAATATTCATGCTCCAAATTATTTTTAAGCAGTCACTATAAGTGTCATTTCATTTTATATAGCAGACATAGCAATTAGCAGAGCGTCTGAGCAGCTAGAAATGTTCCCATTTAGTCTGGTTTTTGTTCAGGATAATGAATATGAATGCTTGTTTTGACTAAATGAATGGTTTTCCCAAGTGCACTGCTGAATAGAGCTTGTGCACTGTGATACTTCTGACCCCGACAGAAGGCATGTGCTTCCATCTACAGAACACCAACCTCTGAATGACCCCCTGGCACAATGAAGAAAAGAAGTTCTATGTAACTTTAGGGGCATAAACCAAACTCTCACTGTTTAGAAACAGCTGATGTATGACAAGAATATACAGATACAAACTGTCAAGCCTGAACCGGACATGGGAAAAATCTTCTATCTTTACAAAGAGTCAGATCAAGATTATAAGGAGTAATATTTATAGTAACTGGCAGTTAAAACAATTACTTTGTCTTATCCATTAGATTGAGGGGAAAGCGTTAAGTCTAGAGTTCCAAAAGAGGTCCTACTTTAAAGGCTTATAGACACATAGTGGCTCATTCTGTGCAACATAAGCATTTTGGGTATCTTACTCCCTGCAATTAATTCTTGCAATTTAATCCTTGCAAATACTTCTTAGGGTTATATTAAAAATCCCCATTTTACATGTAGAAAAATAACATATACAAGAATTTTGCTTAAGGTCACAAAATCAGGATTTGAACCTAAGCTCTTTAAGTCTAGACTCTCTCATGTTATCAATCAGTCTAGGATAATTTTTAACTATATGAATACACACAGCAAAGCACATCTTGCACAGCAAAAGAAATTTAACAAGTTTGGAAATCATGATCACGTGTTCTGCTGCTTGATTTACAAACAGCTCAGCTAACACATTTTAGTAAATCAACTTCTCAGACCAGGCTAGGAAGGAAAAGGGCATGATGAAGTGGGCAATAACAAAAAAAATCACAGAACTTGATACGACAGGATTTGGATGTGGGAGAGAATTACTAAGGGTCTGGAATTCTTAATGAGAAAAGTTTAGGAACGACAGAAACTTGGTATAGCTGAAAGAGAACTGCCCCTTAAGCAAAAACCTAACACAATAGGAAAAACAAACTGATAAGACATTTGCCAGAGTTCGCACCAAGCTGTATTTATTTTACAGTACTCTTTATCTGCTGAGTCTGGGTACTCTGGGAAAATCTGAAACATAATATAGTGGAAAATACATGTGATTTTAGAAAAACTCACTTTATAGTCTAGCTCTCACTTATTAGGAAGGCATTTAATGTTTGAGTCTCTGTTCATCTATAAAATCACAGTACAAATACTAACTCTGAGGTATTACTGTGAAAAATTAAACTATATATGGCAGAATAGATACCCCAAATCAAGTAATCATAAAAAATCATATTCACGATATAAAGTGTTAATCAGCCATTGTTATCGTGAATGAATGAATATTAAGATTCCAAAGATAAGTGGATGAATATTAAGATTCCAAACGTGTATAATCTTTAAAACATGTATAATCTTTAAAAAATATACCACATAAAACAGAGGGTCATCCCCCTACTTTTTTCCAGAACTGCACACAAGAGAATTGTTTCCACTTCGGTGAGCAATAAATCTCTTGACCTTTCAGCTTGGTTTTAAAGACTAGAAAAATATCCAAGCCTCTTAATGATGTATTACTTATTACACTCTTTCTTTCAAGGAATATTTGAGATCTAAGAATATGTGCTAAGATCAAAAACAGAATAATGAGATATTTGAAGACGGGTAGGATATTAAAATATATTAGAAAACACTACTGTGGCTTTGTTTTTCTTCCAGCACCAGGAATCGAACTCACGACCTTGTGCTTACCAGGCAGGTGCTTTGCCAATGAGCTAAATCCCCAGGCCCCACTATTGTGGTTTTATAAGAAAATACAATTTTAGGAGATGCATGCTGATGTATTTAGTGATGTTCAACTTTTACAACTTCCCACATTTCAGAAAAATACACGTAAATTACATATTTTATATATATATAAAGCAAATATGGCAAGGCGCTAATTGTTGAATTTAGATGATAGTTACTGTTTAACTACGGATAGCAAATAAACAGCACTGGCAGGGGGCAGGCAGGAGACGAGATTACATTTAGATGCCATCCTCTGTAAAAAATTTTAATAATTTTTTTCCACTCATAATTCATAGATCGTTAGAGGATAGAAGTACTAATGCAAAAAACAGCTGATATTGGACAAATAACATATATTCAACCATATGTAAACTTCCTAAAGGTCAAGTTCTACACAAATCCTGAACTGTTATATCACTTACAGAATCCAGATAGTGAAAACTAAAATCTATGGTTCTGAGAAAGAATCCTTTTGCTGGGGTGGGCAGTCAGGGAGTATTAGCTTTTCCAATGAGCCTGAGCCAAGAGGGAATTTTTCTTAGGCTCTTCACAGAGCACATTTTGAAAATATTAAAAAAGCAACTGCAGAAAACAAGTTAGGTAGCCCCGCTTAATCTAGTAAAGAATGCTTATCTGTAAATGGGCATACTGACCTTAATGGGCAGGTGTTACACCTTAGATCTGGAAGGTCCCCTCAAAGGCCCATGTGTTAAAAACACACTTTCGAGCCCACACTGTGGGCAGGCTGCGCAATCTTTAACAGGTGGGGCCTAGCAGAAGGTTGTAGTTCATTGAGGGCCTCCTCTTAAAGGAGATTATGGGACCCTGGTCTCTTCTTGGCCTTCAGACATGAGCTTAAACGGTTTGTTCCACCATTTGCTCCCTGCCATGATGTGCAACCAGTCCTAGACTGAAACTTCTGAAACTGAGCCACAGTAAACTTCTTCTTACAAGCTGGTTTATATTAGGTGTTACAGTAACGGAATGCTGGCTAACACATATGGCATGAGAACCAAAAAAGCCAGGCATGGTGGTACACACTTGTAATGCCTGCATTCTGGGAGGCCAAGATGGGAGGACTGTAAATTTGAGCCCAGCCTAGGCAATTAGCAATTTAGGAAGACCCTGTCTCAAAGTTTAAAAAATAAAAAATAAAAATTGAACAAGGGCTGGGATGTAGCTCAGAGTGAAAGCCCTGAGTTCAATCTTCAGTACTATAACAAATAAGTAACAGCAAAAAGAATTATGTAGGAAATAAATCAAGTGCTATAGAATTTTAAGATATTATGAAAGCACTAATAAAGAAATAAAAAGAATTTCAAATGAAAAGAAGTCAAACTGGGATTTAACAAAACTGGACAGCAAAAATAAATGAAAAGTGTAAAATCCCTCAAGACTAAATTAAATTCTTTCACGAGTTAACTTAGCCTCACAGGCTCCGAGGCTGGGCTTTGGGAATGTGACTAGATTATGGGGGCATTGTGGCAGACTTGCTGTTACGAGGTAGGTCCAGTCAGGAGAGGCAGGTCACTGTGGCCGTGACCCAGAAGGTGTATCTCCCTCCCTCCTTCCTGGCCTCAGTGTTTCCTGTCTGCCATGAGCTGAGCAGCTTTCCTTAGACCAGGCCCTCCTACCATGCTGCCAATGATACAACAACTGAAGCTTCAAAAATGTGAGTCAAAATAAATCTTTTCTCCTTTAAGTTGTGAATATTGGGTATTTTGTTCCAGTGTCAAGGGATAGGGACTAAAATATTTATTTTACAGGTCATAAAAGGCATGATACCCTCTGTGCTCTTAGACCTGTTTTTTGGTAAAGAATTTCAGATGGAAGAATCCAGAGTTGAAGACTCAGACAGGGAGATACACCTTCTGGGTCACGGCCACAGTGACCTGCCTCTCCTGACTGGTCCTGTTTGGCTTTTGTTGCTGTTTTTGTTTGGTTTTTTGAGTCAGGGCCTCACTATGTAGTTCAGGCTGGACCTGAACTCACTATATAGCCCAGGTTGCCCTCAAACTTGCAGTGATCCTTCTGCCTCAACCTCTTGAGTGTTGGGATTACAGGCACGTGCCATCATGCCTGGTGAAATTTGTTGATGTCTAAAAAATGTCCTATGGGAATGATCTAAAATATGGAAAATGTTTAAAGTCATTCTCAGGATATTAAAAACTGAAAGTAATCTTAAATCTGAAGAGATCGGCCCGTTCAGGGTGGTACGGCCATAGGCAGTAATCTTAAATCTAAGAATGAAAGAATGACATATTTATGATGTGAACAACAACATGATAGATTATTTAGCAATTTCAATGCTAAATATAAAGAGTAAGCCACAATAAAGAAAGTTAAAGTAAAAAATAAGTAAGGGGCTGGAGGTGTAGCTCAAAGGCAGAGTGATTGTTTAGCACGCTTAAGGCCCAAGGTTTGACCCCTAGCACCTCAAATAATAACAAATACATAAATAAGGAAACAAGTAAATATAACTATAAAACAATAATCAGGAAAAAAAAAAGGACAACTATACTGGGGTGAGGAAATTCTATAGTATTTCTATTTCTCACCCCTTTCCCTTCTAGCTCTATCAACAAAGTTTTAAGTTATTAAATATAATAGTAAATCTAAAAGGTGAGAATGCCATAGTTGGAAGGCTATTGGCTGAACAGTCATATACAAACAGCCATCAACATTAGACCTAATATAGGGTAGGGGACAAGATGTTATAAGGATGGTCACTGTCCTCAAAAACTGACTGCTGTTTTCAAACAGCAGCCCATGAAAAGCCACCTATTCGCTCCTATTTGATCTAATGCCAGATCCCAAAACCATATCCAGTGAAGGAATGCTGCCAGTAATACAATTCTTAATTATCACCAGCCTATAGTCACTTTGTTCTCAGAGACTTTTTAGGTCTGAATTGACATGAAAAATACTACTTCTCTGGAGCTTTTTGTATATAACAGGTCTGCTATTTTTGACTAAAAGAATAATTTATTAAGTGGCTCATCTTTTAAAACCACAACCACAAAATCATACTCATACATTGCTATCACATTTTAGAATGTTAGGAAGCCCCCAAACATTATGGGCTATATATACGTATCTTTAAAAAATTTTTTAGGATTCTTGTTCAAACAATTCAGAATGCAGTTTTCCCCAGATGTATTACAGTGATAAGGGAAACAGATCTGCCCACTAAAACTTCATTTTCACATATCCCCCTCCCCAATTTCCTATTTTAATACAGCAATGGCTTCTTACAATGTTGCTGTTTATGTTTTCCAGGAGCCTCCCTTGAAGGTCTCCATTTCCATCACAGAATTTTAATTAAGTGGGGTGTGTTTAAGCTGGGAAATATCTTACTGACAAATTTAGTGATAAAACAATATTCTACTAATATATTTGCAACACCAATAACAAAACTAAATTCTAGATGAAAAACTTTTTTAAAATTACAGAGATAAGAATATACTAAGATGTCCTAATAGTTTATATGTTTAAGGACCACAAATATCCAAAGACATTTTTTTAAGTATACATTAAAACCTTAGTATATTCTTATTTAATTTTAAATTTCTATTTGTTATCACTTCTCAGTCTTTTGGCTAAGAGCAAGTGTAAATTTCTATTTGCTAAAAAGGTTTTTCATCTAGAATTTTTGTGATCCTTCTGCTTCAGCCTGCTTGAGTGCTGGGATCATAGGCATGCACCACCACACCCAACTGGCCTTTCTATTTTAAAACAAGTACCCTTTACTTTCCATTATGTCTAAATGAGTCCCAAGATTTTCTAAAAGGTGAGCTTCAGTTATCGAGTGCCTATTATGTATAAGGCAAACACTGGTTTTAATTCCTGTTGGGACAAAGACATTTTCGCTAGAGTGCTTAGAATATTCAGAAAAAATTCCAAAACTCCTTTTTTTGGTCGGTTAGTCATGTTTGATTCTCTTTGTCAGGGGTTTGTCCTTGTAATGGGAAATAATCTGAATCAGAACAGAACAGTTGATAAACAGGAAGAACAGGCCAGCTAACCAAATAAACAGAAATGTGTTCTTTCCTTGAAACTCAAGGAGATATGCAGGTGCCAGCCACAGAGCCTGCCCTATAAACCATAACATTAGGAGGACGACTGCTCTTTTCCAAGGCATTCTCACGAGCGGCATTACAAGGGGCAGAAGGCAGAGGTACCAAAGAAAGTACTGGGAGGTGCAGACTTTGTTAAAAGTCACAAAAATGTACGTATGAAGAAAACAACAAAAGGCAAGGTCTCTGTAGTAGGTGAAGGACACTGCCAAAAGCAAGATAAACTGTGGCAGGAACGCAGCGATTCCCAGGGGAAAACTCCACTTGCTCTCCGCGGTCAAATACAGCATATAGAAGTACGGAGAAAAGTTATGACGGATATCCCGCCTAGTCAGGTGATAAAGGTAGGTGTGCTCCACAAACTCCCAACCGTATTTACGGTAAAAACCAAAGCTCAGCGCAAAAAATGTGAGTGCAGCAACGGCTGCAAAGATCAGTACTGGCCGACTGCACAGCCTCTCCAGGAACGCGTACAAACGGGCCCGGAGAGAATGCCGGGACTGGTGGAGTTCGGCACTGTCGCGCGCGGGAAGCAAGTGGAGAGCTATGGGAAGGGCATAGGTCACCGGATACACCTTCAGATGCACCGCGAAAGCGTAGACCGCAGCGGCACACGCGAGGAGTCGTTTCTCTATTAAGTACAGGGCCATAAGCACCAGGGAGGCGACAATGGAGTCCGCGTTGCCTCGGCTGGACACCGCCATGGGTAGCGGGTTGAGGAGCCAGAAGATGCAGTAGCCACAAGCCTGGCGCTGCTGGAGCCCCTTCAGAAGCAGCAGGCGGTACGAGAGGAGAGCGGCGAGGAGGTCGCAGCTGATGAACAGAAACTTTCCGAACAGCTCACTGAGGCAGACGTTAGGAGTGAGGAGCCAAGCCAGCAGCGGGGTGTAACGATAGGTCGCCCTCAGGTAAGGGGACCGCCCCTGCGCGACGTACCGCGCAGCGTCCGTGAAGACCTGGTAGTCGACGTCCGTGTACCTCACGCGCAGGGTCCGGTCCTGGAAGACCCCGTAGAACACCAGGGCAACGCGGGCAAGAAAGGCTACCCCGAACACCCCGGCGGGGTGCACCCGCAAGCTCGGGAACCACGCTCTCCAGTGGCTGCTGGAGCCCATGACCTGACTGTGGGACGGTCCCACAGTCTCTGAGGCCCCAGCTCCAAACTGCGTCCCGGTCTCTAACCCTCGCTACGGTTCTTCGCCTCAGGTGGCGGGCGCTCCTCCAGCCGAGTACTGTGCCATGCGTGAGGGGGTGGGGGAACTACAGGACTCTCACTTCCGGCATGGGGCCCAGCCCCCTTGCTGCTTCCGGTCTCAAACTCCTCTCAGGTTTCGCTGTCCGGTCCGAGGAAGAATTGCCCTCCTTTGGATTGGCTGTTTGCTTCCTCCTTCCTTCGGGGGGGCGGGACTTCCGGTTCTAGGTTGCGTGGTATTCGCTGGAGGGAAAGGGGACCCAGATTTGTTTTTGGTGGAGGTGAATGTTTTGTGATGCTTTCATTCTCCTCAATTCCAGTCGGCAAAAGTGGGTCTTTGACACCCAGCGAGCCGCGAGCTGCAAACTGCATTCCTCATCCCTGGGCTGGAACCTCGACAGTGAAAAATGTGGAAATGAAAAGAAAATAAATGAAGATAGTTCTCACGGTTTATCGTAACGGCTCTCTCCGGCACTCCTGAGGGGTTTGTGGGCTCATGGGACGGGCTGGGGTGAGTCGAAGGAGACCCAGTGTGCGTGGTCCTTGCAGAATTGGGGGCGTACTTAGAGTTTTTACGGTATTGTTTATCCGAAATTCATTTAGATGGCCAGCTTTTCCATCCGGCAGTCTTGGGTGGAGAATGGGAAAGAAGACTGGGAAACTGAGGCTGAGGCAGGAGGATCACCGCGAGTTCGAGGCCAGCCTAGGCTACAAAGTGAGCTCAAGGCCAGCCTGAACTGCATAGCGAGACCCTGTCTCAAAAAAGACAAAAAAAGAAAAAGAAGACTGGGAAACTACACGGAGTTCTAAATAAACTGTGCCAGGCCTTTAGGCTTCAGTACCTTGGTGTTCGCTGTCCCTTCCGGCGAGATTGTTTTCCCCTCCCCAGTCACCCCAGCGAACATCTCACCCTTTAGGCCTTAACTCAAGTGTCCGGCATACTCCGCCCACCTCCTCGTTACGCAGAATAATTTAGATGCCAGACCTCTCAGCTGCCTTGGGTAGATGAACTGGGACGCAGGGCTCTGTGTAGCTCTGAAAATCTTTTGCCTTGCGTGGCTACATGGAAGTCCCGCCCAGCCCCTGTCACCTAAATGCTTCAGAATTCCGCGTCGTTCTCTTATTATAGCATTCTTCTCACTGCTAGTAATATGTAGTTTTCTTTGTTTTCTCTCCTGACTTTGCATCAGGACTCTAAATTCCTTGAGAACAGAAATTATCGTGTTCTTTTCTATACCTAAACCTCTTAACACAGTGCCAGACTTATAGTAGCCATTCAGTAAAAATTTATTAATTTGGACATTGTTCCTGTCAAAACACTTCTAGAATGGCATCCTCAGAGTGCTCTCAACTCCCCGTTCTTTTCCCTTTCAAATATCCTTTAGTATGTAAAGGTCTGCTCTTCACCCATCCCACTTAAACCCTCCTTCCATGAATTTCTCATTAAGGTATTCAGTCCATTAGCTCATCACCATAGTTATTATTCTCTTCTGTGGTCACTTTTTGCACTTAGTCTGCACTGCAGAATTTGATATTTTACTTTAGAGTGTATTCATAACTTTTTCAGTGAGATTATTGGATTCCTGAGAATAGAAATTATAAGTAATCCTTTATTTCTTCTCAATTCCTCATAAATTAGTGCTGACTTCAGCATATGGTAAATGCTTAGTAAATTCTAACTGACTTGGTTTTACAAATTGAGCCTGCAATCTAGGGGAAAATTTCTATCCTAGCATAAGGAAAGGAGGTGCCTCCATCCAGTTTGAACATGCAGCTACTCTTTTTTTTTTGTTTGTTTTTGTTTTTGTTTTTTTCTGCGGTACCGGGAACCGAACTCACGACCTTGCGCTTGCCAGGCAGGCGCTTTTGCCGCTGAGCTACATCCCCAGCCCCCATGCAGCTACTCTTTGCTCTTCTATCCTACAGCTCACGTTGATCCTTTCACTGAGCCCTGTAAACCTTATATATATTATATTTATGTTCTGATAGCTCTGTCTTTCAAAATACCTTGGTATATTTACATGCTTTAGATTAATGATTATTTCTAACCATTTTCTCAGCAGTACAGTGGCAGCAGACCTCCATTCAAATAATAATAACTATGGTGATGATTTATACTAATTGGATTTGTTGAGGAATTATTTGCAATGTGGCAGGCATTGGGCTAAATACTTTTCATGTGGTGTAGATGGTCCTGTCTTTACAAATGAGCAAAATCAGGGCTAATGGACAGTAAGTAGTTTTCCAGGGTCCCATAGCTAGCCAGTGTCAGAGCTCAATCCAGGTCTCTCTGAGCTAGAGGACCTTAATCACTATGTGGTTGGCTTTCAAATAAAATGTTAATTACAGACTGTATACTGCAAGATTGGCTTCAAAGGACCGGCTCCAAGGCCTATCTGCAAGATCCCCCCAGAGCCGCCTACTCCAGAAATCTGATCATTTGACCCATTGAGTGTACCACAGTCTGGAATTCCTTACATTGTTGATAATTTCCATTGCTTCTCCCAATATTGTGACTCTCTCTACAAAGATGACTAAGTAGCCAAGGGATCAGGAGTGCCAGGAGGCTGTACTTCCCACTGAAAGTTCTTCTCTTTCTGGTTCTTTGAACAGCACAGGTTCACCAAAAGCTTTGATGGATGCCTCATTATTTCTGAAGAGGAACTTCCATCCCCCCACCACTTCCCACCATCAAAACTGAAATTCATCAGCTATCTCATGTCCAAGTTAAAACCAGGAAAGCTGCTTCTAGAGCTGGAGGGAAAGAATCGGACACAGTGCATGGCGTTACAGCTTTCTGGGGACCTTGGAAGCCCTTGAGAGAGAAGGCTGAGGAGGCAATGGTTTCTCACTTCTGAGTTCCTGGAGAACTAGTCCTACTGAAATGTCTCCTTAGACAGAACTTTCCAGTGTAATGGCCATTCACGCCTTCCTGGCCTATCTCCAAAGATTAGCCAGATACCCCACCTGCCTAGATTACCAGAGAGACCTGGTGATCACTGAGTGCATGTACAACTTCTGTCACTCCCACATCCACCAGCTCTGGCAGTATCTAACAGATGTCTTCCCCTGTCCTGTATGCCTTTGTTGCTGCTTGGACAAATTCAAGGAACAACACTCAATTGTGCTACATGATTGATACTGCTATATAGGTACCCACCATGGAGACAGCAAGGGAACCCCCATGTGAGAAGCACGGTGGAGATCTGGACTCATTCTGTGAGGAGGACCTGGAACTCCTGTGTTGCCATTGCAGGGTCTCTGACCACAGCATCACTACCTGAGGCCTATTGACAGCACTGTAACCAGTTACAGGGACAACCTCAGATACTACATTGAGGGCCTGAGGAAGCAAATGGAAGATGCTGAAATGGGGTGTAAAAAAGAAATTTCAAAGTTCATTAAATGGAAGTTGAAGAAGAAAAATTGGACGAAGGACTTATACTCTGAATTTGAAGAATTTAAGCATTACTTGGGAAAAGAATAAGTTGCAATGCAGGCCAAGCTGCTTAATGAGGAGAAGATTGTCAAAATCTAATTGAGAATGAAAGCCAAATTTCAGGCCACATATCCACATTAAAAAATTTGTTAAGTGAAAAAAGAGGGAAATATTTGTAAACAGGCACAGATTTGCTGAGAGGTATTAGAAGCATAAATAGCAGGTATGAAGGCACAAAACCTCCAGAAGTTTTTTCATGTGAATTAAAAAAGAGTTTCCATATTATTTTTGTCTGCAAAAAATGATCAACACATCTCAGGTAGATTTGACATTAAATCTTTATACTGTCTCCCCTGTTCTTAGGATCTCAATAGATAGGAAAAGTGTGACTCTTGGGACCAGGGAATCAGCCTGTTTTCTCTGTTCATCTACTTCTCATGCAGCTGTCCTGTGTTTTTAGCAATTGGAAAAAGTGGGAGATATTTTTGGAAAGTAGAAGTGAGAGCCACAGGTGAATGGTCCTTAGGTGTGTGTAATGACTCATTCTCTAGAAAAAGTTTTACATCACCTTGCCCTGGAAATGGATGCTGGCAACTTGATCAGTCCACAAATATATGGGATAAAGCACAAGTCAAGCAGGTTGGCATTTTTCCACAGTATGAGTTGGGAGAGATTTCATTTTATGATTTCAACAGCAGGTCATATTTTTGTAACTTCACTGATAATTTTACAGAAAGGCTTACAGCTTTCCTCTCTGTTAAATGTTCTTCAAAATCTCTTAACGATCAGTATTGTCAGAGAGGAATGATGAACTGCCTAGAGGACCATTTTATGTGTGTTTTGAGAGCATACTTGTAATAAAGATTCTGATTCAAAGTATATTAATTACAAATTCAAATTTCTTTTTCTTCTCATTGATCTCTTGGTTGAATCGGATAGTCTCTCTCACTCTGACCCCATCTCTGATTTATTCTTTTTCTCCAAGTTACAGAGAAGTGAGGATTAGCCACAGAAGGTAGAGAATATGGGAGGTAAATGTCTGAGAGTAAACTGAGTAAGGGCATCTTCTGGCTGGGTTGGTTTAGGTAGTTGGCAGAAAGGCCCCAGCCAGTCTGTTCCCATGTAGTTGACCTAGCCAATAGGGAAGAGGCACCAAATTTGCGCAGATGAGGAAAAACCCAGCTAATCCAAAGAAACAGCCTGTTACTGAAAAGAGTGGGATGTAGGTAATTGAGGGAAGAAGAGATGGAGTCCTATAAAACAAATGAGAAAGAGGAGTCCAACTCAAGTTAGCTTTTTCTTTTTTGAGACAGGTCTCTGTTTGTAGTTCAGGCTGGCCTTGAACTAACTGTGTAGCCAAAGCTGGCCTCCAACTCATGGCAATCCTCCTGCCTTAGCCTCCCAAGTGTTGAGTTTATAGGTGTACACCACCATGCCCAGCTTCTAGTTACTATTTTTTAGCTAGGATGAGGTCTAAGGGCCTCATATTGAACAATTTGCATTAGACTTAAGGATTCTGTCTTCTGACAGCCCCCTGAAAGAGCTACTTTTTTTTTTCAAATGTTTAATTATTCTATTCCCCATTTCAGCATCTTCCATTTGCTTCCTGAGACTTCCTCTTGGACTTTATTCATAATACTTCCTAACCCCTCTTTTTGCTATCTGCTCCTAGATTACCATCCTTTTAGAGCTAATGGCTAGGGAAAGCAAACACACACAGCTCATGCCTCATGTCCTTAACTAGGACCTTGACCTTGGTAACTGCTGCATCTGCTTTCGTTACTCATCCATATTTGTTTTGTGCTCCAAGAGGTTTGTTCTCAGGCTTCCCATAGAATAGACCCGTGGAAGGCACTAGCCAATCTTTAGCAGTACACTGTATCTCAATTCCTCTTCTAAGGCCAAGGCTCCAGCTGAAGGTATAGCCTACTCTCCTGGGTGCAATTCTCACCATGCTCCAATAACTGTCCTTTTAAGTTTAAAGCCGGTAAAGGCTTTCTGCTTTGCAAATCCCTGGTACATCATGATCTCTTGCTGATGCATTAAACCTGCCTAAATCTTTGTAAATAATCCCTTTATGAAAACATGCCCTATTAGCCCTTTGAGTGTACTGTTTCCTGCTAGAACCCTGGCTAATTTAATCACTTTCTTTTTTGCTAGCTCTTGTCTTACTCTGTGATTTCTTCTGACTCTATTTCCACTTCTTTCTATGCCTAATATTCTGCACCTTAGACCAGATCTTTAGCAACTCAATTTAATAACTTGTATCAGACACCTATACTGTCTGTGGCCATCCTCTTTCCCTCAGTCTTTCAAAAATCTCTTAACTGGCTTAGTGTTTCCTGTCTCAATTTTACTGCCAGATTAATATTAATAAAGCGTGTTTTACTTAGATTCTTATCTACCTGTCTCCAGTGGCTGTTAACTGTCTAAATAAATAAACTCTTTAGCCTGAAATTTAATCCCTCCATTGTCTGGCTTTACTTTACTTTTTCAACCCACTCTCCTGCAAACCTCTCCTCTACATTTAACTTTCCATTAAATATGCCTGAGGCTTCCTGTGAGACTTTGCTCATGCTGTACTATCTGCTAAGGATCTTGTTTCTGTTCACTCACCTTGATGTTGGTTCTTTATGCTGAGCTCAAACCTCAACTCCTCTAAATTCTTCCTAGACATTAACAAGTAGAAGTGATCTCTGCCTCCCTAAAACTGTTCATTATCTGTTCTGTTTTTTTTTAACAGTTAATGATGTCATGCCTTGTGAAATATGCCCTTTGAATCTTTTATGGTTATTTAACAAGACATATGAACAGCACTTAGTATTAGCCATGTGAACTTTAGACAAATTCTTGTCTCTCTCTTTTCTTTCCTTCTTGACAGACATGTAGAGCATTACATACGCCATGCACTATGCCAGGTGCTGAGCTGTGCTGGTGACCAAACATTTGACATGAATCCCATTCACCTAATCCTTAAAGTCTAGTGAGCAAGATAGGCATCAGCCAAATAAATTCACAAGTAATGTAAAATGGCATCTGTCATAAGTGGTATAACTTTCAGAGGGATTTATTTGATCTATGACAGTCATGGAGTGAAGAAGGCTAGGGGGTTGGCGGTAGTGGGGAGAGTCTCAGAGGGAACAAAAGGTAGAAAGCTATAAGTCTACCCATCTCTTGATGATATATGCTACATCATATTTCTTTGTTAGTCAAATGCTACCTGCCACATGATAGCAGCTCTAGGTTTGCTGAGTTTTCATGAATCTGTGCGAAATGTGTTTTAATCACACCTCTTAGATTGATGCCACTCTTTGCCTAGTGTCTGTTCCTGTGAAATGTTTTCCATGGAGAGCTCACTCTTTTTAGTTAATGTTAATTCTGTACCTCGCACTAACATATGTTACTTGTTATTTCCCTCAGTTATATTTGTTATATATTGTTTGTTACTTTACTTCTCTTTCCTCACAAGTTTGTAGGAACTAAAAACTTGTAGGGACTATGTATTTTATACATTTCCTGTGTCCTATGACTCATTCCTAGTGTTTCATAAATGTTGTAGATTTATGAATGATCATAGATTATTTCCCTCCTTCTAACTCTGTCCATCTCTGAGGAATAAATCAGTGATAGTATATCTGTTGCTTCTTATCAGAGAGAATTAGAGCCTCGATACTGACAACCAGGCCTTTCTCAGGTAAAGGTAGAGCATAAATCCATTTCTTTGCGATTTGGGAAAGAAATGCATGATAGTTAAAGGAATTAGCTTATAGAGGCCTGAGAATAAGGAAAACAGGCCCATCAAGTCTACATGGAAAGAAAATTGGGCTCGTTGTCACTGGCCAAAAGGAACAATCCCCAAAATTCAGGGCTTGACTTTCCTGGATTAAGCTTAGTGAGTTTTCATATTCCTGGGGCTTAACATTTTTACATCTTCTCCTTTAAAACCTGCATTTGGAAGGTTTTTGCTAAAGGATCCGAAAGTTAGTAATGACGTGTGGGAAAGGAGTGGAACGAATGAGCGATGTCACTGATGGAAAGCATGAGAGATAATCCGCAGAAGAGGCCTGGCCTGACTAGGAGCTCTTCCAGCCCAGCTGTGTTCAACCCTCTTCTCCTCTAGGTAAGCCTACTGACAATAGTATCAGTTAAGATTTCTAAAAGAATCTGAAGTGGAAACCAAAGATTCAACCATTTTCTTTTTGAGACAGTCTTTCTATGCAGTTCAGGCTGGCCTTGAGCTCATTTTGTAGCCCAGGCTGGTCTCGAACTCACAGTGATCTTCCTTCCTCTGCCTCCTGAGTGCTGGGATTATAGGCATGTGCCACCATGCCTGGCCTCATCCATTTTCTTTAGTAGCTTGTTCTGATCAAACAAATAAAGCAAAAATAACTCACACACCTCTTTTTCCCCGGGTAAATGTGACTTATTTGGTCTTTAATGCAGTGAATGGAAAAATCATCCCTGAATACTTACAGTAGAGTTGGCCATTAGTGGACCTGGAGGCCCAGCTAACTTTACAGCATAGCTAGTGTGTTATTTTACAAATAAACTAGATTAGCTAGCATGAATAAAGGACCAAGACAGCAGTCTTGGGGAAGGTGCAGCCTCCTGACTTGTAGCAGAAGTATGACAGGTACCCTTTCTCTGCTGACTTCATAGCATGATCCTTCGATGGTCTTGTTAGTTGACTGGGGTTGCAGGAGATCAGGGGCAGGTAATGAGGCAAAGCACAGTCTAGGGATTCAGAATCCTCTGGTGGAACTGCAGCATCCCCCAGGGCAGATGGTAGCCCCATGCTTCATTTTCATACAGGAGCATAAAAGCCAAAGAGTCCCCCTCCATGCCAAATGCCAGCATTGGGACTCTTCTGGCATAGATGATATTTGCTCTAGGCTATCTGAAGCCATGTAGAGAGATAGGCTCCTGGCTGGGGACTATCTAGGGCCCAATAACTCTTCAGTTCTGGAATTTGGATTCTAGGGTTGAGGCTTCCCTCTAGGGCCTCCCAAACACCGAAGTGTTTAGCTTCTCAGTTTATTTCTGGGAGCTGGAGCTACCATTGCTCGCAACCCCTTGGAAGAAGGGAAAATACAGTGTATTTCAAGAGAGGAAAACAGAAAGTACATTTATTTATTTATTTATTTATTTATTTATTTGCTACAGTAGCGGGATGCTGCTGGGGATGGGACACACAGTATAAGCAGTAGTTTTCCTAGATTTCCATGGATAGAACATCTTCCTTTCCCATTTCTTCCCAGCTCTTCTCTTCCTGGTCCTGTCAACAGTGCAGGTTCACCAAAAGCCTTGATGGATGCCTCATTATTTCTGAAGAGGAACTTCCATCTCCCCCCACTTCCCACCATCAAAACTGAAATCCATCAGCTGTCTCATGTCCATGTGAAAACCAGGATCACGGGTGGTAAGTCTGAAAATCTGCGGGTTCTACTTCCACAACCAGGGCAAATTACCTGCTCCTCTGCTAAAGTCTCTGAATACTTCCTTTCTGTACATTGAGTATATTTGGGCATATATACATCTTTATACATATCTCTATATATTATCTCTGTTTTTTCTCTTTAGATAAACCTTTCTTAGGTATCATATGTTAATTCCACAAACCTCCACTGTGTCTTGTTTGCCGGCCCAAGTGAGGCTCAAGGATTTCATTGAGTTCACTGGGTCCCCAGCCCCTTCCTTTCTCACACTCATAATCTGGCATCCTTCCCCATCAGATGTTTTGCCCACTCTGAAATCTCCCCTCTTAACATCTGTGCCTACAGCTCTCGCCTGACATTCCAAGTCTATAGCCCATTTCTCACCAGACTTGACCGCTTACAAAGCTAGTCCTATAGTCTGAAAGAGAACTCCAAATCAGAGGAGATAGGCTGTAGTCTAAAGAACTAGGATTGGGGTGGGAGGAGTTGTTCCTTGGGGAATAAGGGGCACATTGGGGAAGATGCCACATTGTACTAACAGGGCAATATGATTTAAAGTGCAACTTAGAACAAAGCTTGGAATTGTAGGGGAAGTTAAAAAAAACATTAACTATGAATTGTTCTCTGCTTACATTGTTATCCAAGCATCTGAAAAGTCTGGGGGCTTAGAATAGACAGCAGGGAAAAGGAAGAAAATCATTCCTTCAGGAGGGAAGCAGCAGCATGCAGAAGAAAGCAGATAGAGGACAAATTGCCAATAGATAAGAAGTCTACACACACACACACACACACACACACACACACACACACACTGCTGTATTTTGTGCTTATACACTGAAAGACATCAGGTGAGTTTAATGTTGAATAAAGTTGAGAGTGCAGAAACTGGCTCCTTGCCTTCTGTTCTTTCAGAGTTTCAAGTTTCTCTGGTCCTCATTTTTATGAGACCCAGAGAGTTATGATGGGGCTTACAGGAGACTGAAGGGTCTTCCTTTCCAAGCTACAGTTAGTTGCGTTCAAGGAGAAATCAGTGTTTAAGAGGACTGCACAGCTGAAGTAGGTCCAGTCTCACCGTGTTGTGAGTTTCTCTGCAAGGCTCTGCACATAGAAGCATGCGTACATTCTGATAGGTGTGTCTCTCGTAAAAACTGAATACCCCTTAAACAAGATTCACACAGGGATTCTATGCCAAACCACTCTGTGGGGGTCCCTTTGTACCTAAGTGAGGCCAGGGAGTACTTGTGGAATTTGGGGCTTTAGAGAAAATTCTGGTGCCCATATGGTCTTCCTTGACTCCTACCACAGTCCCCACTGGGAACAAGGAGTGGCCTTTGTCTTATCTCTTACAGTATCTTTTAAACTTGCCTGAAACTATCCCACTGCAGAGGAGAGTAAAGATAACACTGATTTTCATCATTGTATATAAAGTCTCAGCAATGGCTGAGGGTAACCATGGTTATTTGATCAGGAGGTATAATTTTCTCCCCTCCCAGCATTGTCTAATGATGTAACTAGCACTTTTCAGAAGGAAACTAGGAGGTGTAACAAAATAGTGCCAGCCCAAACCTTCACAAAGGATCACAAATTCTGTACATCAGCCTGGAAATCTGAGAATGTACCCATCCCCCTCTTGGTTGAGTTGGTTTAACTTTTTTTTTGGGGGGGGTGTCTTTGCTCTGTAAATCTGGTCTTAGTTACCCATTGATGTTAAGAGCAGGAAGGTCTTGTATATTCCCTCCCTTTCTCTAAAAGAGGTGTCTGCATTGGGTGGAAAAGGAAGAAGGACCATATACAGTGTGATCTGGAATATCTTTTAGTCTCTTCATGGGCCCTAGACTCTAAACTTATTCATGGGAACATAGTGGCTAGGGTCCTGTCATTCACAGAACACAGGGAAACAAATCTTCCCAGAGCAGCCTGGATGACAGATTCAAAGCTTTGGACAACAGCTCAAAAACTGAGAGTTCAGAATCCAGGATGGGTGTGGGTGTGGGTATTGTGAGTATATGTCTGTTTTTCAGAGCCAGCCCAATTCTCTGAGAATAGAAGCTATGAAAGAACTATATATCCTAGAGGCTCTGTTTGAAAACTAGAAAGGGAAAAGTAGTGGTGACCAAGGGCCCAGATTATGGTCAGGAGTTACCAGCGAAAATTAAGTACACTGTGACAACCCCTGGTTTCTTTCAACAGGGGTTGGTAGTGAGCCCAAACAGATGGTTTCAGATTCTTATATTTCTGAGGGTACAGACCACAAAGCAACCATCATAGAGTCTTGCCTTAGGGAACTTGCTAGATGGAAACACAGAGATGGGGGGCCTCTAGCCTCAAGTCACCGAACTTTCTGGTGGGGGGAGTCTATCCATCCAACCACATGGTCCTCTTAATGTGAGTCTCCAAGCATGGCTGAGGCCTTCTAAGCCACTTCAGCCTAATCTTCTCTCTCCTTCCCCCATCCTGGCTTAAGGGAGTTGTGTGCCTTAGGGTAGAAGCAGGGGAAGGTGAAAAGGGACAGGAGGAAGAAACTTGGACCCCCAGTCGGCCTATACTACTGACAGGCCTCTGGATTAAAGAAGGGAGAGTGAAGGATGGGTGCTTCTGGGGTTGCAGTGAACCCAGATAGTATCCCTTGCCCAGGGCATGGAAAGAGAGGAAGAGAACAGAGGGCTCGGGAGGTGGGAAGAGGCCATCAAACGTTGCTGATGCGCACACTGATGGCGGGGCCCTCCTTCTCGGCTTGCTCCCTTAATGACTCCTCCAACTTAAGCTTTTCAGCGTCTCCATAGCGTACAGTGCTGTCATGCAAGCCACTAGGGGGCGCCACTTTCACAACTTGGTCAAAAAGACTGAAGTCAGCTATGTATTTACCACTGGCTGACAGTGAGATGGCAGGTGTGAACTCATAGCCCCAAAGGATTTCCTCTGGCAGGTAGGAAGTGCGCACCTGGCAGGTGGCACTGGTGGACTCCACTGTCCCACTTAGAATTAGCACCAGCTCAAAGTCACCCTCGCCACTGCGAAGAGGGAGGTCTTTCAAGGGACTGGTCTCATCCACCACATGGTAAAAAGTCAGGGGAAGAATGAGGAACGGGCTGTCAGAGGCCGTGTCGACTTGGAAAGTCACATTGACCTGGTTGAGCCGAATGTTCTCACCCTCCTTGGTCTGGTGGGTCTGAAGCAGTTTGCCTGTCACCTGGCAGCCAATGAGGAGGCTCTTACGCATATTGGCAACTCGGATCATAAGACAGGGCTTCCCGTTGTGCGAGGCTACAACTGCATGCTGGCTGAAACGGATGGTCTCGGCTCGCTTCTTGGGCCGGGCGATCTTTGCCAGGAAGGTACCAGTGATGAAGATTTCCAGGATGGTGGTGAGCACCAGTTGGGCAATCAGAAGCACGATGGCCAGAGGGCACTCCTCACTGATGTAGCGGAAGCCATAGCCAATGGTGGTCTGGGATTCAAGGGAGAAGAGGAAGGCTCCAGTGAGTGTGTGCACCTGTACCACACAAGGGGTGTGGTTGGCAGGGGGACCCAGCTCCAACAAGTCCCCATGGGCCACAGCTACCAGGTACCACACCACGCCAAAGAGGAACCAGGTGCCTGCAAAAGTAGCAGAGAAGAGCAGAAGCTTGTAGCGCCACTGCATGTCAATGAAGGTTGTCCATAGGTCCTTGAGGTAGAGGAAGCGCTTGTCGGCGATATGCTCCATTCGCACGTTGCTACGACCATCTTTCGTCAGGACTCTCCGCCGTCGTATTCCTGGGCCCATTATGGGCCGGCTTTCTGTCTGAGTGGTCTGACTGTAATATACCTTGGCCACTGACGTCATCTGGAGGGAGCAAGACAGCATCAAGGAGGTTACTGCAGAAATCCAGCTAGCTCATGAACACCACCCAGTGACAAGGAGGACTTCACATTCACTTTGGTGCCACTTACTCTTTTATTAGCAACTCTTTATTGGGCACTTGTTATATGCCAGACATTGTGCAAGGTGCTGTTAAGTCAAGGATTAAAGTGACATCATCCTTGTTCTCCAAGGACACACAGCCTACAGAGGAAGGTACGTGCCCAGTAAATACGTCATTTTTAGGAGAGGAGAGGCAGAGATAAAAGTAATCCATAGTTCATGGAGAGTAGGGAAGAGACTAGAGAAGGCTCTACTGATCTCCACAAAACCAGTTCTGTGACAGTATGTAATTTTGAAATAGGTACCTTCCTCATCCACATGAATATTATAAGGCAAGAAAGGTTATTCCATTGAAATTCTCCCAGGTCAATCTTCTTACCATACACACATACTCTTAATTTCTCTATTTTCTTTCCTAGACCCAAATTAATACCTGTTGATGGTACTAAGCTACCCGTCTGGCTGAGGAAATAGCAGAAATTGCTCATTCCTCTACCATTCAAGATGCTCTACAAGTACCCACCCAATTCTTTTATCATTAATATCATCTTCTTCATCTGTTTGCATCACCTGAGGAAGTTAGTTTCTGAGTTAGGGTCTAGGTTGATATTAGGAAGAACATAGACAGGAGTTGAACGAATAGAAATATGCAGTGGTGGGAGAGAAACAGCGTACATAAGCTCCCTAGAAGCACTGGGACATTTTCCCAAGAATTGGCAGAATTGCCAGGTTATAGGTAGCAGAATTGTCCTGACAGACTGAAGTAGGAACAGTAGGAGTGCCTGCTAGTTAGTGGCCCTGTCTGCACAGGCTCAAATTCAGCCCGCTATGTGCCCTGATCGTAGTAGAAAGTGGGACAAGGCACTGAAACAGGAGACCATTCCCTTAACACAAGGTGCCTGGCACACCCCTGCCCAGGGAGTGACTTGTACTTTTCCACCAGAGAAAATTTTAATCACTTGAGCCCTTGGACTCTGAATTTGATGACCAGATCCTCTCAGAAGGGGCACGGTGACGTGGAGAGTTTGGCCCTTTGTGGAGATAGAGAGCCCTGTCACGTTCTCCATTTCAAAAGAATCTGAAGCACTGCTTTATTATTATTCACACCTTCTCCCTCCTCTGTTTTGCCCTGGCTTGCCCCTGGAAAATTCTAAATTACTAGGTTCATCCATATTCCTATCCAGGTAGGTTGTGAACTGAAAATCACCAATGGCTGAGAAGCCCAAGAATCTTCAGAGGTGACCAGAATGCCCATTTTACCAGCCTATGGGCCGTTTGGAATTTTTATCTATGGGATACTATTGTTCACCTAGACTGGAGTGCGGCTTGTTGCTCAGTGCCCTGGTTACTTTGGAGCAAAAACAAGCTTTCCAACTCTGAAGTGTGAAGACTTCCTATTTAAGGGCATTAAAGCCCCTATTTACTCAGTAGTGGTAATAAACAAATAACCACCATAATGCCTGTACTATTTTACAGTCCACACATAAGCATACCCTTTCATGTAATCTTCATAATCTTGAAAAGAAGATATAAAGTCTCTGTAAGGAATTTTGAGAAATATTAAAGAAGAGAAGAATTACTGCAGAGTTGAAGGTAAATGAACATAATTTTAATTTTCAAAAAGAAAAAACATGTACATTTCATAAAGTATAGACAGACAGGCAAGACACTGATCCTAGACAAAATTCTTGAATGGAATAAGAGAGGAAGTTATCAGTAAGATTCAGCATGGGTTCACCAAGAACAAGTCACGTCCAAGTGATTTCCTTGTGTGATAAGCTTATTAAGTTGACAAATTAGAGAAATGCAATAGATAAAGTGTATCTAAGCTTCAGCAAGATTTTTTATAAGATCTCTCATTATATCCTTGGGGGCAAGACAGAGAAAAATGAACAGAATGGCAACTAGTGAGGTGACATCAAAATTTAAAAATAAACCAGTGGTACTGATGAGTGGACCGTGAAGATCTGGAATTAGTTTTCCCTTGATGCACCAGAGAGCTTTATCTTTGTTCTTACCTTATTCACTGTTCTTGAAAAAATTTTTTCTTCAAAATTAGATAGTACTATAGACATCAGCTATGTGGGTGACAGAAAGCTGGGAGGGCAGTTGAAAATGCAGGGGCTAAGTAGAGCTAGGACTGGAAAGGAGCCGATGAATGGGCCCAATCTAACAAGAAGGATAAATGTTGATTTATGAGTTTGGGTTCAAAATATCCTAAAAGCAAGTTCGGGATTGGGAAGCTGTAATTTAGCAAGCCGCACCAGGAAAACAATTTAGTAGAAACATTTTAGTAGAAAATAAACCAAAGTAAGTTATTCATGTATTCTCATTAACAAAAAAGCAGTACAAGCTAAATTGATTCCACTCTCCTCAGTTTATCCTGCACTGCAGTATCCAGTCTCTGGGAGCAATCGGGATGTGAGAGGATTCAGGACCAGATCGCATGAGAAAAAGTTAAAGGAAATGGGGGATTTAGGCAAAAGAAGAGACAAACTGAGGGATGTAGCAGATGTCTGCAGATAGTTGGCTTGAGAAGGGCTGTCATGCGAGTAAAAGTTTGGACTAGTTCTTTGAGCTGCAACAGGAACATTCAGAGCCAGTAAGTTCAAACTACAGGAAGAAAGATTCCAGACTGCTATTACAAAGGGCTCTGTAACAATGAGGGCAAGCCAAATTTAAGAGCTCCTCTAAACATGGAGAGTGCCCGGACCCTGAAGGTATTCTAGGGTAGATTGGATGAGCATTTTGCAGAGATGATAGAGGAGATTAAACTTTGAATGGGGATTGAAAGATCGTCTGTAACCTTCCAGCTGCACTCCTGGAGGATGGGGATGCCTGTCTCCTCCTACCACCTCTGCCCCTGCACTTACGTACTGATGTGATTCTTTGTCAAAGTCCTGGTTTTGTGTTGAGGGGAAATTCTGCATACTGGGGAGAATGGAAGCTCTGAGGGCCCATGGAAAGCTTTGTTTACCATTCTCAAAATAAGTCTATGATTACTTATCATTTTAGGTTTATAAAATATGTAATTTGAAAAATAAAAGCCATGGGGGCCAGGGGTGTAGCTCAATGGCAGGGCGCCTGCCTGGCAAGTGCAAGGTCCTGAGTTTGATTCCCATAAAACAACAACAGCAACAAAAAAGTAATTTGATCCTCACACCATGAGGTAGGTAGAAAGGTATCAGTACAAACTAAGGCTCAGAGAGATTTGACCCTAACTAGGTTAGTGGTAGAGGCCTTCAGGCTCCTGGTCTAGAACTTTTTAATTGCAGCAACTGCTTCTGTGAACCCCGGGTTTATTGGCATGGGTCCCCTGCTCTCAGGAGGTACTCTGTGCTACCTCATACAGAGGATCACAGCTGAGCTAGAGAAGACAGAACCTGGGGCTTCTGAGCCCAGTGTAAAGGCTGTGGACACGTGGGCACTGGAGATTTTGGCTACTGGCTAGCCTCTGCTGCCTCTGGCTGTTATGTTTGCCGCCTCCAGCTGTTGCCTGCTGTTGCCAGCCTTTGTATCTGCCACCTCCAGCTGTGATCTGCTGCTCCCAGCTGTTGTGCCACCTCCCACAGCCAGGCGCTTTGTTCTCCACGGTGGCCAGAGTCAGAGTGGATAAACAATCAGTACACTCCACCCCCAAGTTGGCCAGGCCCCTGGGGAAGGAAGCAGGCCAAAGTTCTGGAAGTGATTTGTTGTGGCCCACCCAAAATATACATCTTCCCTCCTCCAGAGGGCGCTATTTCCCCTCTCAGCCAAATGCCAGGCCCAGCATTCTGAAGAGAAGACCAGCCTCTGAGCAATGAACAGACAAAAACAGGGACATCCACCATCTTCCTCCTCTAAGAACGGTACTAATGATTCTTTCCCCCAGAACAAAAGCCAGCCACAGCTACAGTGATGTCCGGCATGGTCCTTCAGCAAACGCCACGCCCACCTCCTGTTTAATGCTGCCAGCTCCTCCCAGAGCAGCCTTTCTTTACCTTCGAGCTCATTTATTTTCCCTGACAGTCACTTATCTTCTAAATGGATAAATTTATCAGAGTGCAGAACTGCTCTCAAGTAAGGAAATGATTCGTGACGCTCATGACTAAAATTGGCTAAGGCCTCCTATTGCTTTCAGGATAAGCTGCAAGCTTCTTAGCACAGGATTCAAGGCCCTTAGTAACTGGTCTCTGCCTACCTCTGGGCCTTCCTCTTGACGGTTTTCCACAGATCCTAGTTCTGGAAAGAGCCTCACTGTCTGATCCTTTTCACCTTTGGACCAGCTTTTGTACTGCCCAGCCCAGTGTCTACCTGACGATCTCCAGCTTACCCATCAAAACCAAATTCATGCTTTGGAGATGCCCTTGGAAGGATTCTCCACCCTCAGAGAAATTGTTCATCTTCCCTGTGCTCTCTCCCACCCCACTTAGGCATGGGTTTACTGAGCACGCTCTTGCACAAAGTACCATGCTGTCACACCGTGGTGCTTTGAAATGTTTGTGTATCGCTGTTTGCCATCTGTGAGCTCTTAATTTAAGGCCAGGACTGTGCCTTGTATCTGTTTCCCCAGAACCAACTACAGCTGCTAAGAAAGACCGGCTGAAGGGATAACTGAAAGCCTGAGCTGGACAGGCAGATGCAGAGGGGGGGTGTCCCCACAGCCTTGGTTTGCCTCCCAGGAGATACTGAGTCCATGGAGACCTTCAGGGAGCCATGGCACAGCAAGATGGGACCCACCTTTACACAGGCTTCACTAATATCACAGAGGCTTACAAAGCCTTTTTTGAAAGGTGGGAGTAAGAAAGCCCAAAGGCCTCAGTAGGAGCCCTCGTCTGGGTCAACTGTTCTTTTGCAGGAGGATGGTGAGAGAAGGATCCTTTAAATTGCCTTGGAGCCCTAGAGTTGACTATGCTAAAGGAGGTGGCCAGAAAGGTTGTTTC